GGAGGAGGAGGAGGACCTTGGCGGGGGTCAATTCAGGGACTGGGAAGCCGCTATGGCAACCGCCTCAGAGGGGCGTAGTCGGTCTCTTCTTTCACGGCTTGCAGAGCCAGGTCTGCGCTCTTCGCGCGGTTGTGTTCTGCCTCGCTCAACCTTCAGCCTTTTCGCGGAGGTTTGGTGGATGCGAGGGAACGGGGAGCACGATAGCCGTGAAACAGCGACCCCGACCGGCAGGGAGGTTTCGGTCGTCGGCCTGTATGACAAACGCCACCCCGTGACCATCAAGTGTTGCTTTTGATCAACCGAGCGTATAAAGCACTTTCATTTCCTCCAGTCCGCTTGAAAGAGGCGTAGTCGCATTTTTCGCAGTTTAAAAATGTTTCCAGATGTGTCACTGCGTTATCCCGAGTTGTCAGTGGACACCAAGAATCAAGCAGTGCATTATACTTCCACAAAGCAATTTCTTGTCCAGCCGAAATTAGCTCGTCTTGAGGGGCCAATGTGTTCCAGTGGGAACCAGGTAGTCCCCGAGGACCACGTGAGTAGCATGTTCCAAAAATAGCTTACAAGTGATGGGACATTGAGATTTTCTCGAAATGTTGTATAAGCGATCATTTGACAAAGTAAACACAGGCAGAGGTTTATAGAAATAAGGTCTTGCTATTGAAATGGGTCTCTTTTCTATTGTGAGAAATCATTCACATGATCGGTGTCATCACATAAATGAATCTCATTAATTGTCGAGAATAACGTCAACGGTCATTTTAGCAAATTTGTTTCAGAAGTGTGCATCAAAGTGGTAGCCCTTCACATGAACCCGAATATGTCACAACTCTCACTTTCAAAATGATTGGTGACTCCTGCCACTCCACTGTATGTAAAGTATGTGGCGCATGGAACAAGCAATCAAGTGTGTGCCGCTTATCAGAAGCTAGCGCTAATTTGTGCATCCAACAAAACTCAATGGAGCGCTGCTTATTGTTCGACTTTGACCTGACAGCAGTGGTGCCACACCTTTGAGGTATGTGGACGTTTCTGCATGAAAGGGTTTCAGACGGTGTAGTCCGGCCATCTCTTGAAAGTGACTCTCGATCTTCATCCACCCTCTCTGATCATGTCATGGAAGTAGAAACTCAGTGTGAGGACATTTATGATGAACATAAATTTGCATTGCTGTTATGGAAGGACACGGACAAAGTTAAATAGAACATTTCTCAATGGATTTGTTGGGTATACCTCTGAATGTAATGAAATCAAGGTGTGAATGTGGCAAATTTATGAGCGACAATGCTATTTTCCAGTGGATTTTTCCGCTCATGACTTGGCGGGCGAGGTTGGTCAAAGCCCTGACATTTTGTAGCAAAAGTCAGATGACGCAAAAGCAATGTCACGACAAAGCCAAAAGTTGCACATCTTGTAAGACTTTTTATGAAGACACCTGGGAGTGGGAACCATCTTAAATGATGAAAAAAAACTATGTTACACAATGTCGCTTTAGACACTTACTCAACGGCCAGTAAGAGTGCTCTCTTCACCTGTACAGCTCACCGCCACTAAATTCTAAACACTTCTCGAGTCTCGAAGGCATATTTGGTCTATAGAAGGCAGAGATTCCCAATCTTGTACGGAGGTTTAGTGTAGTCATTGACATTGTTTTTGTGCGCAAAAGAGTAGCCTCTCGTCAATAACACATTTAGAACTTCCCAGAAAGCAATGGCGATATTGCCATTCAAAAGGCTTCTCGAAAGTTCTCGAAGGATTACTGAAGTATGCAACCAAAGCACAGTCCACTCAGTTTTCTCCTTGCACAGAGGGACTTTCTCGTGATTCATACTTTATGTTAGTCATCAAGTTTTTCAATTTCATATTGGATACAGACAAATAAAATCCCCTTCAATCTCATTTCATTTAACCTTGGCTCGAGCAAATCTTTTCATTCTCAGTGATGCGAATAATTTCTAAGCACTCAAATGACCTAAACGCCGACATCGGTATTCACGAAGGCTGCTACGGGAATGTGGGTGCATATGTTGAGGGAATTCATTTCTATCAGGCCGGACAAGAGCAGAAGGCTGACTCGAGGCTGCAGAAACATAGCTTTACTTTTGAGCAGACTTCTGACTGCTTGTTTAGGCGTTTAGGACTGGCCTCTCAAGACTGCAACTGGACTTATGACTAAACGTGACTCAGCACTGTATATCAAAGGTGGTTTGTCAAATTAATAGGATCTGAAAAAGAACTCTCAAATGTAGCCAGTGAAGGGATGCCAGAGTAGGAGCGATGCCCTTCCTCTTACGAGTACCAGTCAAGAGGCGAGCCGCAGCATTGAACCAACTGGAGACGCTTCATGGAGGATTGGCTGACTCCAAAGTCAAGTGCGTTACAGTCATTCAGCCGACATGTGACCATTTGTTATGCAAGTGTTGTTGAGAAAGGAGAGGCTTGACTTGAGCCAGCTGCCTAGGATGAAAGAAGCCGGATTTGACGACGGCACCAATTTGCCGGTCCAATTTCAAATCACTGTCCGGTTTAAGACTGTTGGCTTGAGCTCAGGGGTCAGAGGGCCCAAGTCCGCAGGATGCGATGGACAAGGGCCACTGACACCAAACACCGTCACTTCGTTTTCAATGCTGGTCAGTCAACTTTGGAGGCGGTGATCGTATTTCTCCACCGCTCCTTATTGTGTTACAGTCTTTATTGCGCCATGTTGTGCTTTGTAGTGTCGTTAGTGTTCAAGGGTTCGCTCTTTTATCCGTCACTACCAAAGTGAATTACACATCAAAGGAGCCTCATGGACCAGGAAATAAGAGAATTACAAAGGCAAAGAGGAAGTGGGTGATGAGATCCACGAAACAGGAAATGGATTACATAAACCAAATTAGGTTTACCAAGTATTTGCTTTTGCAGCATGTCGTCAAATGCATAATGGCGAACAGGAACGGGGCCACAGAAGTGTGAATGGTTTGGAGCGGTTCAGAAAATGGATGGATGGCTAGTTCTATAGCCCAGGCTAGGTTTAAAAAAAAAACGGTGAGGTGACTGCCAAACAAATCATGCAAGTGATGTAACAACATAGACGGTATATTTCACACAGTTTTAGACGGTAGTTAACTTTTCTTTTTATCTGTTTGATGTGGCAGTTATGTAAAAAATATTGAAATTCCTTTTTTTCTTTTGAACAATCAAACAGTCGTTCACGCCTTTGTAATATCTCTGCTGGATTACTGTCATGCACTTGACTTTGGAGTTAGCCAATCCTCCACCAAGCATCTCCAGTTGGTCCACAATGCCGCTGGTACTGGTACTCGTAAGACGGAGCACGTCACTCCTACTCTGGCATCCCTTTACTGGCACCCTATATATACATTTGAGAGTTCTTTTGAAGAGCCTCTGCCTTTTTATGTGGCGATTGAGTTAGTTAAAATCTAACTTTAAAAGTGAAAGAACTCTCGATAGGAAATGTGCACAAATGCCACCATGCAGATGCAACGATAACTAGCATGCAGTCAAACGCATTATGAAAATGACCAGAAAAAGGTGAGTCATTTGACTTTAGTTCAGCCTTTGACAGTATTTTAATGCAGTAATTAACCTGGAATGATGTTTGAAATTGTTAAAATGTTCCTTTAAAAATGAGAGGACAACCCTACAACAAGAAAGGCTCCATATTCATGCATAATAATATAACATAAGCTTATAAGTGCAAGATTAAAAAAAAAAAGTCACTAAATACCGTATAAGAAAGTATCGGAAACTCCATGTTGTGACTGTGAGTGGGTTTGGCTCTTTTGCATTTCAACAGGTATGGTGCACACACGTCTTTGCTTCATTCATCCTTCCTTGTGGTCTCATCTTTTATTCGAAAGAGCGAAAGAAGCTTGCGCCATTGACGAACGTGATGAAATCCCAGCGTTGATGGGAAACGAAGTCGTTTTGCACCAATCGTGAAAAACAAGTCAGGAAGTTCACCCAAACGGCTCCCCAACTGTCGCGCGTCAAAATGGAGTCATGAAAAGCACGACTGCCTTCATCTTATCTTTGACATTTCATCTGCTATCTTCTGATGAAAAAATAAACACAGAAGTCACGTAACTTCGAGTGTCTGGCGTTTGTCTTCTCATCCAATCGCGGAGTCCCCTTTGTGTGACTGTTTGGAAGAGCGAACCGTTGCATATGCACGCAGTTACCAGCAGGGGGAGCCGTCATACGAGAAACAAGAAGCCGGTGACTGTCCTGCCGGATGGAAGTTCTCAACAAACACGTGAAACGGATGTTCAACCTGTTTAATTATCCTTTTGGAGCTCCATTTTGAGACAAAATTACAACAACTACATGGTAAACAGTATTGGGACAATTCTGGTGGCTATATTGGGCTTTATTTTGACCTCTTCTCTGTTGAATGGAAAGTTTGGGACGCAGTGAAACTACGGGAGCCGACGGCGCCGAAACAGCACTTTGCGGACACCTGGCATGGACGTGGGAAGCCGGGAATTTGCGTCACCGGCCGGGCTGCGTGATGCCCAGGGCCGTCCAGGAAATACTGTACACTGGCCCTTCGCGAAAATTAACATGTTTTCCAGAAATTCCCAAACGCCGCCCCCGCCTGGTGGTGTTACAAAATAGTGACTTTGTGCTGTTGTGGCTCAAACATCTTCAGGGTAAAAATGAGTTTCAGGTGGAAGCCACAAGTCCTCAGTTGCCGTTGTCTCCTTTGGCCACGCACTGTTTAAATCATAACAATAAAATGTTAAAATAGGCCCTTCTGGAAACTAGACTTCAGGCTTCCCTCTGAGATGTTTCATCTCTCTGTGTTCCATGTGGTCGACCAGAACTCTTACTTCATTGCCATGAAAGGTGCGCTCACTCAGCACTTCTTGTAGGTCACATCTGGCATGACCCAAAATGAGAGATGAAGGCATGGGGAGAGAGGGAAAACCACTTTGAACATCAAAGTAGGCCATGAAAAGTGCTCGGAGGTATGCCGACACTGGATGCACACTTGACATTTGATTCAGGGCGGATTGAGCAACCCGAGGCGAGTTGTGTTCCGCGACTAAATAAAAAACTGACATTTCACGCACTGACTTCAGCATCAAAAACAATTCCTGTTGACACAGACCTGTACAAACGTAATATCCATGCCAGGCCACTGCTTGGCGATGTTACTGAGTGGTTTTTGTGGTTTTGAGCGGTATTGAGTGTTTGCGGCACACCTACTACATAATCCAATAACTTTTTTAAGCATTTAAAAAAGT